GCAAGGATGATACTTATTCACTTTTCTCTAGCCTCAGAAAGACTTCAATGGATATTTGAACAAACAAACCAATGATTATCTAAAACTGGAAAACGTTCATGTACATATTTACAGTTTTCCCAAAATAGTCATTTTTAAATTTTAATGAAGAGATTCCGTTTTTAAAAGATTATTTTCCACCGTAGATTTTTCTTCCCCTGGCCTATGCACAGTCTTCAAAACTTCACAGGGGCTCAATAAATGCTAAATTCCTTCCTGGCACAATCGCGGTCCATAGCCACCCCTGGGGATGGTTTTAGATGTTTGTGTTCCATACACTGTATGAAAAGATATGAGCAGCCTGAGTCAGCCCAATGAGAAATAAACATGTTATTTGGGGATGTGACTCAGTACCATTGTTAAAACACCTCCCCAGGGAAAAATCAATCAGATCGTCATCGAGATCACTCACATCACAATGACTACATCTAAACAGGCTGAAAGCAAAGGTGAAGAAACTATAACTTTAAGAATGAAGAAATGACATAAAATTATACAAGCTACCCGGAAGAGTCTTACTGCATGCACAAAAAAACATACATACTGCCGTCAACTTACAAAAACCAGTTGCTTTTGAGTTGATTCTGACTCCTGGTGACCTCATCTGTGTCAGAGTAGAGCTGTGCTCCATAGGGTTTTCAATGACTGATTTTTCAGAAGTAGATCACCAGGCCTTTCTTCCGAGGTGCCTCTGAGTGGACTCAAACAGCTGCCAACCCTTCAGTGAGCAGCCAAGCATGTCAACTGTTTGCACCACCGAAGGACTCCAGTCAACTTAAATGTGTAATAAAATGATTTTACTGACTGCTCAAATTAGTAATCTAATTTCATGCTTTTAATTAATCTACTCTACCATAAGACATACGTGGTGGCACAGGCCTTCTTCAGAGGTAACAAATAACTACAGAACAAATGAAGTTTTGTTTGTTGTTTCTTAGTTTTGTTTTATTTCAGTTCTTCATTCTATGTTAGGCAGGGTAATTTATTCTAAAACAATTTTTAACCACTTCAAAATCATGCAATTTACTATTCGAGTAGCACAGCATAGTAGTTACTTTTGGTGACAGAAAAACTTGGTCAGCTCTCACTAACACTGTCTAGCTATTTGATCCCAAACACCTCTCTAAGGACCTGTAAAATGGGGATAATAATGGCATCCACCTCAAGGTTAAATGCTATAAAGCCTATAAAGCATTTGGTGAGTGCCTGACATACAGAAAGGACTCCACTGATGTCTGCTATTATCATTGCTCCCTCTAGCTGCTTTGGTTTCTGCATCTCCATAAAAACTTTAAAGAAGAAGAATCTATATCAGTAAGTTTTATGGCTTCTTGGAAGTTCTGGTTAAAAAAACAAAACAAACAAACAAAAAGCCAGGGCAGAACAGGACAGGAAAGAAAAGGAATGGAAAGGAAAAGGGAAAGAAAATGACAGAAAAAAGATGGAATGAATGGCAACACTGAACTAGAAGGGTGAAGCGCACACGGCCAGTCTTTCTCTATGCCTTGTTGTTGTTGCTGTTAGCTGCTGTCTAGTCAGCCTGATGCACGGCAGCCCCATGCACAAAGCAACAAAATGCTGCCCGGGCCCTGTGCCTTCCCCACGATCAGTATCAGACCGTGGTGATCCATAGGGCTTTCACTGGCTGATTTTAAGAAGCAGATCACCAAGACTTTCTCCCTAGTCTTAGTCTAGAAGCTTCACTGAAAACTGTTCAGCATCATAGGAACAACAAGCCTCCACGGACAGACAGATGGTGACTGCACATGAGGTGCATTGGCGAGGAGCCAAACCG